CCAGAAATGTTCAGTTTTTCATAAAGATGCAAGTCTAACTCGACTAATCGTGCTAAACGATGCAGCGCTTCACAGCAGGATGCAAACCAGTGCATGCCATACGTACATAAACACGCACTGATGCATTCAACCACCGAGCACGGAGAGGACAGGCGTGCACAAAAACATACAGATAAAAGTCAAATACGACGGGTGAAATGCACGAGTGCAGCACTGCACATTACTGGAGCACCGGGGCTCTGAAAGAGGGGGGAAAACAACAACAAATGTACGCCACCTCCATCTCCCCGTCGTGCTGACAGAGGACAATGACTCGCGGACTGCCTCGCCCTGCTGTTTGGCACTCGGCGTGTCAGCATGTGTGCGTTTGTCCAAATGCACACAGCGTGCCACAGTTGATCACTGGCAACACCACCCACGGCCCGTCCTGCAGCCGGCTGTCACTGACGAGCGCCCACACACAGTCTGACTGTCTGACTGAAGTGTCTGGCTAACCAAAACAGGCCCGAGAGCCGAGTCATTCTCGGCTAACCGTCACTTCTTTTTTATTCGATCCATCTACTGTTTGTCTGCACTGCAGCTGACCTCTTTATTTATTCGATCGTGTACTTTTGCATCCTTCTCAGCCACAGTTCAAACTGCGGACAGCAGCTTAATGTCGTATCAGCTGATATTCACTTACTGCTTTCTTAAAGCTCTGACAGGAAACAACACTGGCAGCTTACTTATTCTAATCAAGCTGTGGCGTTTGTCTCGGAGCTGCTGCCGTTTGTTCTCGAACTTTGGAATTCCTTCTGATTCCTGCAAACTCAAACTCAGCCACAGGGTAACGTGAAACTCCTCACGACAACAAATGCACCCAGGAACACGTCGCCCGTGTCTAATGACCCAAAGGCATCTGATCACATGTGCCACACTTATTTTAGAAGCTTTCTGGAGCCAAGCAAGTTGCTCAAGGACACTTCTTCTTCTTCTTCTTCTGCATACTTCTAACCAGCTGTCTCACTTCCTCCCTGACACAGTCGGAGCATTTACTGACAGCTCACAATAAAAATACAGTTTCCTGTGTCACGCCCACATTTCACCAGCCAAATGTTCAAAGCACTGACTGCTGCTCTGCTTATCTTCTGGCTGCTGTCTGCCCTGTGGGTGAATGACACCCGAGCAGATCCAAGATGGCAGCCAGCGTGCAGCAGCGCCTGCATCCATCAGTCATACAGGAGCAGCTGGAGTTCAGGTCAAAGACACACCCTCTCTGCTTTAAGAAGGATATTATACAGAGTTATAGTCTATGGGAAGAGGAGCATAACTGTACGCTGTATTACTGTTTTATTATTGTACTTTGTTCACAGCTGCTAAATCTTTTTAGAATATTTATGAAGAATATCGGCTGATGTATCATTTCTTTCATCTATTCTTGCTCAACCACTAATTATTTTATCAACAATGCATCAAATATGAGTTGAAGTAACCAAACTACAGAGCATTATTGAGCAGTTTGCCTCAGCTTTGCAGAGCATGCATGTTGCATGTTGTTGCATGAACATCTTTTACAACATCCGTCTTGCTAGCCACAGCATCACCCTGACAAACCCACGGTGCCCACTGTGACAGCAGAAATCAGCTGCTAATCAGAAGCTACGTGAAAGATATTTTCCTTAGGAGGTAAAAAGAAGAATGAATGCTGCGTTTAGATCGATGGATCCAGATAAACATGCTGTTCCCCTGCATGTGTTTGCCACCCATATGATACTGACGACATCACGTTCATCTCACCTGCCCTGGCGTCATCGTTGTCCAGCAGCGGGATGTAGTCCGTCTTTCCCACCGTCTCTCCGACCTTATCGTCAAAGTGCTCCGCCTCCAGCTCAGCCACAAAGTCCCTGTGCACCATGTTCTCCGGGCCGGGCTGGGGAACGCTGTCCGTCAGCGCATCGCTCAGACTCAGGTCTAACTCTGCCATGGCTGCAGACAGAAAGACGCACGAATAAACAAGAGTGCCTGTGTTTTCTTCCTGGTACATCGTCATCTTTTAAAGTAATCCAAGTCAATCGGCCTTTTACTTCCAGCAGATTTGTATCTGCAGCTTGAACCATCCAACCAACTATGACAGATTTATCAGCATTATGTGATCAGTAAAAGATGCTCGGGGTGTAATTAGACATGGGATCATTGCCCCGAGCAGCTCCCACGTCACTGCCTGCAGCTCAGGGTACGAGCTGTTTGTAAAACACAGTCCTGGCTCACTCATAAACATGATGTCATCACTCTAGCTTTGCACCTTTAAAACACTCTTCTTTAAATGTGGTGATTGAGGGAAGCAATAATCCAAGAATCAGGAAACCAGGATTACTAGTCCCACCTGCAAACATGGAGTCCTGAATCCTGGATTTTGTCTGCAGGTATATGAAGACAAAACGAGCGGACAGAAAGAGGAAGAAAGTGAAAAATGGAAATGATAGGAGAAGTGGTCGAAGGAAGTTAGAAAAACTCAGTTCCAGCCCACTGGATCGTTTACTCAGGAAGTCATGCTTGCTTGGTGTGATCGGAGGAAAAACATTTGAACTGAACTGGGCTTCAGATTTGTATCCTGAGGCAGGACAGACGCAGCCAAAAGACCTGCGTTAGCTGGCATTCCCCCTGCTCAAGTCTACCACCAGCAAGGACTAAACCTGACCGCTCCTGTGCTCGAGGGGAAACTACACAGAAGAAAACTTTCCCACTGATAAAAACTCATCTGCCACAAGGGGGCGGAGTTTCAAACGAGATCAGGGTGTTTGAATGAAACAGATGAGCTGGAACGAGACAGAAGCACAGTCTGTGCCTACACATGGACTCGGACGGACGTGAACACGCATGCATGCAGTCGTCGACCAATCTGTGAGTTCAGCTGACCAATGGCCACCTCGGGAATCTGCAGAGTCCTGCTGCGTCATCTTCCAGCTATAATGCCAGATTATCTTGGCCACAGGAGCAGCCGGCCTTTCTCTGCTGCTCAGACACGCTCGGCATTAATCTGTCTCAATTCTGCTCCACACTTTCATCATCAGGGCGTCCACTGTGTCCAAAACACTGGGTTTCATATCCACACATGAATAAAGCCACGCTGCTAAATATCATCAGTCCATGCAACACATCTGCAGAACAAACACAGCAAGCCGGCACCAACTCAACTCTCTATCCCCATCTACTGGACGGTTTTCTTATTGACTGCACAAAGAGCAGGTACAGGTATCCACCCCAGAAACGCTCCCAGTCACATAACTGGGTGGAAGAACTGTTTATTTGTAGTTTGGCAGCCTTTAATGACAATTAGGAACAATTCTCTTGCACTCGTTAGACTCATTTGGGGTTCAGAGGTCTTATATTTTCATATACAGGTTCATCTCAAGGTTACTGAGAGATGCAACAGAATCACCTTTGAGCCATAAAAAGTTTTGACTGAAGGTAAGGTGGTACTTTCTTATAAAAGCCTGATTCATCCATTCACACGTGCATTCATGTCTGTGCCTAAGCACGCTCGACCCACCGTACTCGGGGTATTTAAGAACTAAACTGCTCGAGCTGAAGCACAGCCTGACATGCTACGTCTGATATTTATATATTTACAGAATCAACATGTGGTGCCTGTTAAAAAAGACGTCTTCACAATCAGTGAGAAACACAGAAAACTGTCGTGAATGACAAGCAGCTCTCTCACAGGCGTATTCATGTGTGTCAGCAGCCGTACGAGTCCCCAGCACAGACCAGGGTGTGTCGCAAAAACGCCGCTGCCTCCACCTCAAAGCCATGCTGGTCACAAACGTTGCCCCAGTTTCCATATTTAACCCCACATCATCTGTGTGTTTAGTACACAGTGTGTCATTTGCACCAGCTGCACAGTTAGCCGAGTGATCTGTGCCACCCAGCCTACAATGTCATTGGATTCACTGCAGGATGAGATAGCGTACGTCTTTGTTCGCTGCCTGCCCGGCCTTCAGCTGCTTCCATTTCCATGGGCCGTTTCCCACATAACCACAGGAGGAGAGGCTTTTCATTAGCCTAGCTCCTGCAGTGGGACAGAATACCACCCTGGGATTAAAAACTCATAAGATTTTGGGGCTTTTTGACCTGAGCAAATGTACCCGAGCTGGAGCTGAGCTGCTGTTTTCACCTCCTGCTGCTGACAACTCTGGTGTGGCCACTCGGAAATAATCTGGATTCAACAAAGGAAGGAAATCCATGGAAAGGGCAGTTTCTATTGTGTTGTCTGCCAACATATGCTTGAGTGTGTGTGTGTGTGTGTCTTGCTAAGTCTCTTTTATATACAGTCTGGGCTGTAAGCCTGGGTGTGTTAGCTGAGGTGAAGGTTAAGCCTCCTCACAGTCTGCTTCCACACTCCTCTACTGAATATAAACAATAATACAGCCTGACGTGAACACAAAGGCCGATCTAGCAGCAACATGAGGAACATGAGCAGCTCCAAGGAAGCAGAAACGAGGCCTGTTTGTGTGGCAACGACTTTCATTTCCTCATCACATCATTCTTTCTTCAAAGTAGACACGACACAATCATTACAGCTGAGTCGGGTGAGTCGAGTGAGTCAGGTGAGTAAGGTGAGTCGAGTGAGTCGGGTGAATCGGGTGGGTCGGGTGAGTCGGGTGAATCAGGTGAGTCGGGTGAATCGGGTGAGTCGAGTGAGTCGGGTGA